CCCCTGGAGACAGGTTCACGGAGATGGATGGGAGGAAGGAGAAGGGGGGTGGCGAGAGGAAACAGCTGCCAGGATTTCACAGCGTTCAAAGGGAAGGCATCATCCGCCCGGCCTGCCGCGACCAGCGCTGATCAATGGCCGTCTCGCGTGTTCAGGAGACGCCTTCGGGGATTATCGCGTGAATGTTCGGGCTTCCTGTCTTAGACGTAGCGCTGCGAGCCCCGTCGATTCCAGCCCGGGCAGGATTATAGAATCCCCCTCCCCCTCCCCCTCTATCGCTTAAGACCAATGTACCATTCGAGTGTAGGCGCAGTATTATTTCACGAGATCGTCAATGGACTCGCCGTTTGCGCCTTTTTAGGGCAGCTTTTGCTTCAGCGGGGCGCTGAGCGGCAACCGCATTGCTGGGCCGCGCGGTTGTTGTCCGTGGGGGACAATTGTGTGCTCTGAGAAAGGCCACGGTCTTGCGGTTCATAGATTTGCGGTCTGATATGGCGGCGGCGGCGGCAGCTAAGCCTACGGTAAAGGAGGTGGAACCTCAAGGGACATGGCAAAAAGGAATATCAAGGCGTAAACAGGAAGGCAGGATATGGGGGCATTGTTTCAGATGCAAAATGGGGGGCGGGGGGGCTCCAACCCAGCTGTTGGCTCAGGGCAGGCAGTCAAATTCTGGGGTCCCTTCTGAGCGCTGACAGAGGCTTCCAAGAGCCCCAGGTCCTCCTGAGAGCCAGAGAAGGGCCCGCGGTGGCCCTCTGACCTCCAGAGGAAAGCGACTCAGGGAGAGCCCTTAGCGTTAAAACCGCAGAAACAAGCCACTGATCTCAAGCCACGAAGCAGATAGAATGGACAGGCGTTCTCCAACCAATGGTTTACGTATTCTTTGCGCTGGCATCCGTGGCCATTAAGCCGAGCTTAACTCTGAGCCGAGCCGTGCGCAACCGCTGCAGTGTCCAATCCAGCCGCACAACGGGGACTCCTCTTAAACCCGCCCTTAGGACGCCATTGCAGAATTGCAGTCCCGCATTCCGTACCACCCCCCAGCCCACCCCACCCGCATAAAAGACAAACAAAGGAACAAACAACCTGTACAGTTCTTTTGGGCGCCGGCTTTGACCTGGTCTAGTGTAAAAGAATTATGGAAAACCTCAGTGCTGGGCTGATCCTTCGTGTGTGTGTGTGTGTGTGTGTGTGTGTGGCTCGAGCTGAATGGTTGACCATCTTCAGAAACTAATCCCCAAATGGCTCACCCTAGATCCAGATTTCTGATTTTTTAAAAAACAGGCATTTAATTTTTCATCTTGGGCTTGTAAAGTACCCGGTAGAGAACCGCAGGACAATAGAGTAAGGGGAAAGCGCAAGATTTCGTCACCGAAGAGCTCTGAAACAATGCGGGTTTCCCTCCTCCTGCTGCCTAGTCACACACACACACCCGCCCAATTTGGCAAGATCTTCCATCCATTCCCCCCCCCCCCCCTGGGGGGGAAAAGCAACTACAAGCTTCGGTTCCCTTCAATCGATTCTTTCCTCCCTAGATTGGACTTCTGGGGAGACTGCCCATGTGGAAGGTCTGGAATGGGAACGACCCCCTCACACCCACCCAACACTACAAATCCATCCAGTTCAACCAGCCATTTGATTCTAGGAATGCGCCAGCCTCCTTTGACCCAAGCGCCCTGGATCCACCAGATCTTATCTCTAAAAGAGTGCTATTCCCCCCCCTCGGCTCCCCCCTCCCATTGACCAAATGAAAACGGTTTATGGCGGCTCCTCTTCTCCCCCCCCCCCCTCCTGTTTTTAACTCCCGACGCAGGAGCGCCATTGAGTGCCGCAATGCAGTAGAGCTGTAAATACCTTTAACAGCTGCCTGCCAAGCAAGGAGTGAAATACGGTCTTTGTTCGGATTCTCCCACCCTCCCCAGTTTCAGGACCTCATAAAGCAAGCCGAGAGAAGTACATTTCACGGAGATGGGGGTGGGGGGGTGGGGGAGGAAAAGCCTACGATTAAGCTATAAACAGGCTTGGGGTTTTAAGTGCTCGGGTTGAGATGAAAATTGCATATCCTTAGAAAGTGAATCCACTGTCTGTTATCATACACGACACATAGGATCTGCGGGTCTCTTCCAGCAGTGAAATCAACCTCTGTTTTTTGCGTGCAAACCGCTCGTGCGATTATGAACCGGTTTACTGGAGTATGGATGAGGAGGGAGGCCGAGTTTCCATGCTGACTTTAGGGATCCTCTTTTTCCTTTGAGAACCAGATCAGGTAGCCAGCGACCCTAAACGCAAGCCCCCCTTTCCCAACGCAATTGACTTCAACGGAAGTTGAAAGCGAGCTGCCATTACATTTCTTTATTTATCGTTGTTGTTCCAAATAAACATTCCTAGAACGATTCGGCTGCAATTGTGCTTAGGATGGCCGTCTTAAGATATGGTGTCAGAGGTCTACTGGACCTTCTCCCGACCAGAATTTAATTCTGGACGTCAGTTTCTTTTCAGCCTGTCCCCAGCTCTCTTAAGCCGAAATCACCAGGGGTACGTTCTGTTTCAGCCCTCCTGAAATGTTTAATGAACTCCCAAAGTTTGTTCGTTTTGCTGGTTTTTACTTCATTGAGTTACAGACGGGGCAACTGGATAAATCCCAGGCTAAAAACCGGCGTGGAAACCCGAGGCACAAATGCACCGCCGATCATTGGTAGTTATGTTTGCAACAGAGCTCTAACCAGGGGTCAGGGGAGCGGAGGAGATGCGATACAGCAGAGGAAAGGGGGCGGGCGGGTTTGTTTAGGCACCTGCGAATGTTTTGAGGCGAAATAGTTTGTGGTTTTCGACTAGGACCTGCAGCTATTCAAGTCTAGTCCTAGGATCACCTTGAGGAGTATCCCTCGGCTCATAACTATTCTCCATGATGGCGGCTAATAATTCCGAAGCACCGCATCCTTAAGAGGTGATTGAACACTTGGTAAAACCCGCCTCCAAAAGACTTTCAGCAACTCTTCAAGGAGAACAAAAACGGACACCTCTTGCTTTTTTAAGCATTTATTGTGAATAACACCAACATCTCGAAAACCGACTCTCTCCATTAAGTTACCTGAGTGTCATTTCACAAACCTGGCTGCCTACGGGCGAAAGATACCACTTTTCGATATGACTTCTATCACCATTATGGAAATCTGTTTGCAGGAACCTCTGAAGAGAACCTACACCCGCCCATCCCTAGAGGCACTGAGAGCCATTTTTCTTCAACAACATTTTTCTTTCTTTTACAGCACGGTACTTTGTTCAGCCTGTACTTCCCTGAATGGAACTGAAACCCATCGCCGCCTTAAAGACCAACAACATCAATTCTGAATGAACCAAAATTCTAGGCGGTCCCACTTTAAAATACAAGAAGCCAGTCCTGCGGAACATCCCAAGCAAGCTCGATGTAAAAAAATCGCCATGCACTTTTACAAGAGGAATAAATTCCATTCAGAAGTATTGACTTACTGCCAAGTAAACAGAGCCAAGACGGAACTGATAGCGAGTACATGTCTTCCCCTGCCCCCCCACACACACCAGGCTGTTACTGTTAGAATAAAAACAATCCATTCATTTCCCCACCATCACCACTTCCCACCACTGGAGATCAGATAGACAGCCAGAGCAGTTAGAGAGTATCTCATCCATTATATTTATTCCAAATATTCTGAGAAATAACGACATTTGTCACCAAGTTCCCTTCCCTCCCCCCCGTGCTGAAAGGGTACACAACGCATTTATTCCAGAGGCGCTGGTGATACCAATGCTCCCTCTAAGCTGTGGAGTCTTGTGAGCAAAAATTCTACTTTGTGAGCTACTGGCATTGAAGTTGTGAGCCAGAGAGTTGCCTCCTGCATAAATTAGTTTGCTCTGGAGCCCTCTTTCCTGAGCTCAGACAAAAAGGTGTGAGCTGGAGGCTAAAAAACTGAGCTAGCTCACACTAACTCAGCTTAGAGGGAACCACTGGATACCATCCGCGCCAAGCGGTTGGCAGCCATATTGGTGGTGTTTCTGGTGGCACACGGGCATGTGTTGGTCTCTCTTCCCCATGGCTAGCGTCAATATCACAACAAGGAATTCTATCCCGAATAGTTTGCCACCTGCTCCGAGGCCTTGCACCGGCCCGGAAGGGGCAACAAACAAACCACCCCGGGCGTCTGCCATATCCGAGAAAGCTGCGTCCACGAATCCTCCCCAAACATTCCAGCTCTGCATTCGCAGTGTTTCGATTCCTCTCCCCGCCTTCTCCTTTTCTCAATGCGAAATTTCGGCCCTCTGCCTCGCCGCTAACACGCGTGGCTGTGCAGACGGTCCTGGCGCGCGGTGTGAACGGGGAGGGGGAGGGCAGGAATGGATAGTTCGAGGATTCTTCCTGCGTGTCCGCAAAGGGAAAGGAGTTTTGGCAGCGACCCGCAGGGCGCCGAGGAAGCCAGGCTTGGCGCAGGATTCCGCTTTGTCTGCTTAGGACCCTGATGGGATGGGGGGGGGGACCGGTGGCACCTGTTGGCAACTGCGGGCATGCGGGTGAAATCCTGGCACTGGGGGTAAAAATTCAAGACTGGAGAGGGAGACGCCCGGCCACGGGTGAGAACGAATGGGAGATCTCGCTTTTGGGAGATGTATCAGGGGTTGGTTTTTGTTGGGTTGTTGTTGTTGTTTTGAAGGGGGTCAAGACTCTTGGGTGGCTTCTAAACCTCCTCCCCCCCCCCCCAGCCGCCGCCCGTGTTTCTGTAACGCTGGAAGCCACTCTCCTTTGTAACAGCAGGGCTGGAGCGGCGAACGCCCCCTCCGCAGCCAGACAGGTGGCCAAGCAAGCATTTCACTGCCTCCCCCCCCCCTTCTAGTCTTCCTCACTTTCTTTTATGACTTCTGGAGTCATTGTCCCGCGCCTTAAGGGGGGGGGGGAAGGAGAAAGAGAGGAAGCCCTGGAGCGATGCAGGCAGGCGAGTCCGAAAGAAACCTGAAAGAAAGACCAGCCTTACCCGTCCATTGCCGGGGCGCGAGGGCGCGGAGCCGAGACGCGTCTTGGTAATCCATGGCGAAAAGCAATCCGAGTCCTCCTTCTCCAGACCGGAGAAGCCAGAGGCGGCAGGACAGGCAGGCAGGCAGGCAGGTAGGGGCTGGGAAGAAAAAGGCAGCCGGCTACCAGGGGGAGGGGGGGAAACAAATCCAGCTGCCTCGCTGGCCGGCGAGTGTGTTTGTTTTGAAGCGCCCTGGGCTGGACCGGATCGGCACCCCAACACCCCAGCCCGGGCTCATACACCTCATCGGAGACAAAGGTTAGCAAAAGAGGGGCTGGGAGGCTCTGGGAAAGGCAGAAGGCAGGGGGAAATTCGCCAGGGGAATCGGGGGAGGGGGGGCGGTGGAATAAAGGCCATGAGAACCTACCGCGCTCGCACATGACCAAGCGCAGCCAATGACGTGCCCGAATAGGTCATAAAAGGTCTATTACCGAGTTGTAAATTGTCTTCAAACAAAAAGGAATTTACTGCAATTCCTGGCGGATCTCGTGCTCTCGCCCCTTTCGGTTTCCTCTGAACTAAAGACACCAGATCTGTTGAGGCTGATCCGGCTACGCAGTCAAAAACTCCAGGGAAAGGGTTTGTGTGTGTGTGTCATTAGCAGGGGCCAGACTTCAGGAGAGAGATTCCTGTACGGTTTTTACATCCCCCCGCTAAACATAACCCTAAGATCGATTCCCTTATCCCCCCCCCAAAAAAATAAAAACCCCCACAAAGCTTCCGAAGTGTAGACCGCTGTTTGGCGCAGTGCGACGGGGCGAGGAACGGTCTCCCCTCCTTCATGTCCTGGAATTGCCTTTAGCTAAAGTGAGGCTCTCTGCTTGGCCTCTTTGCCCGGTTTTTGCAGATTTAGGGGAGGAGGAAGCGATTAGGCTTGGGGGGGGGGGGCGGGGGAATAAACCAGGCGCTGGGGCGCTGGGGCCGAACCTCAAATCGCGGTGGATTTGTATCCAACACCCCCCCCTTTCCCCCTTTCCCAGTGTTAACAAATGAATCCTGATGCCCGCAGCCCTGAAGGGGTTTCTCCTAACTCTTCTGTTCTTCTGTTTCTCAGTGTCTCCCGGGCTTGCCTTTGGAGGGTCCCAAAAGAATTCGCCCCCCTCTCGATTTCTGGAGCGTCTTGGGTGTTGCAGGACGAGGGAGCTGTTCCAGCCCACTGAGCAACAGGGCCCTGCCACCACCCCCTGAAGCACTGACCCTGCTTGGCTGCAGATCCATTGCTGGGGGGGGGGGAGGGGAACTGCTCCGGTCTCCTCACTCCTGCTAAACTTTCAACGTGTCTCTTTCGAGGAAGAACCGACGTCTCCGTAGAGAGACCCGCAGCCACGGTCGCATTCCCGTGTTTTGTGTTTCCTCCCCAACCTGCGAGATTGGAACGCCCGGCTCTGTTAACTGAGGAGCAAGTCCCGTTGGAGAGCAAAACCTTGGGACGCTGGTCGACATTTTGCTGGTCTGAGGCCGGCAGACGAAGTATTCTAAATGGAGAGTGGCATTATTTGGAAGGGCGATGGGGATTTTCATTACCTCTCCCCCATCCCCATAGTGACACAGTTTGGGCCTCTGTCTGTACAGCCACCAATTCCAGAGGCCCCAAATCCCGTTGTCAATCAAAGGTCTCCTTTACAACCGAGCGATTTCTCCCAAGAATATTTCTAGTTCATATTATGGGATTCTCCTTTCTACTTAGGAACAAGGCTTCTGGCGATTTTAGAGGCTTCCACCTAAGGGGGACACGGGTCGGTTTCAATTGTCTGAAAAGGCCGCGTTGGAGGCATTCTAGAAAGGAGACCAGACCAGTTTCCAAAATTGAGGCTTTTAAGGGAATCGAGGCGTTCTCCGGCGGTGGCGCATTCGATTCATTGCGGTTTACTTAGATGCTACGATCTGTAGATGAATGTGTTGATTTCTCTCATTGTAAAGTACATGGATAAATGGTTTCCAGAGAATATATTTTTAAAAGTGGTCCACTTTTACTACACCTCCCCCCCCCCAATAAAAATCCGTGTTCACAGGACTGGATATTAGATAATTCCCGATCATGTCTTTGTTCCGGTTACAATAGCTAGTCTGTTTGGAGCGCTTCAAAATGGCCTCGACCTGCGGGGCAGAAAGACCCTCGGTGGCCTTAAGTCACCCCTGTTCTTCCAAATTTCGATATAACGATCGAAATATTTTGAATATATATATCTGGTTTTATAAATCTTTTAAAAATCTTGATATTACCAAATGACAACGACAGCTGAGCCTTCTGCATTGGTTGGTGGAGGATCCCTGGTCTTAGATCCTCCACGAATTGACCGCGGGGCGGTTTTTTGCCGCATTTATGCAAATTCCTGCGCCAAATTGTTTGCGTCTCCAGTTCTGCCGCAGTTCCGCTGCGCCTTGGTGTCCCCCGCCCTGGCGCTCCTAGCGGCACTGCGATCCAAGGAAGGCGCTTCAGTTTGGTTTTTTTTTTGGGGGGGGGATGCAGCGGAATTATGAAAGAGCCTCGGAAATTAGACTGCTGCTGGTTCCCCCCAAAAAAAGGATTGTGTCTTTCAGCCCTAACAGAATGAGTGCATCACAGAAGAGACGACCTAGCTTTTCATTGAAAATGTAGGCCCCAGATTTTTAGTTCTTTCTCACAGGCATAACAATAATAATAAAATGTTAACCTGGTCTATTTCTAGATAAGGGCTAAGTTCTGTTTCTACTCCTGCAGTAAGGGGTTCTTGTCCTTCTCTTTCCATCTTCCCCTGCATGGTATCCTTACCCATACAGGAAGGGGAGCAAGAGGGAGGGGGACTGCTGGGCGCTGGGGGGGTGGGGGAGTAAATATGGCAGAAACAGCATTGCCCCAACACTACTGGGGGGGGGGGTTGACAGTAGTCCCAGCCGTAGTCCCAGTCGGTCCTCCTTGCTAGGCCCTTTTAATTGACCCCCCCCCCACTGAAATCAATAAAAAGGGCTCAGGTTTTGGCCCCCTTACGGAGAGTTTTACTAATACACTGGTAGGGGGGGCTGTGCCTACACAGGAGCGCTCTTCCTTGTTTTGAGAAGTCACTTCCTGGTCGTGTATGAAAAAAAAAAAAGAGTGTGCCAAAAGGCTCCTTCGCTCTTCCTCCTGGACCCTCCCCAGGCCTCCCTGGGCAGGAGCCAGCGAAAGTCTCCTTTGCCTGCGGTGTAATAGGAGGACCTCAGAGTGGTGGCTCTTTCAAAAAGAAGGCCGCCTTCTCGGTTGGTGCATGAAAACAGCAGCCGTTTTAAGGTCAAGATGGGCAGCCGTGTTAGTCTGTCCGTAGCGGTAGAAAAGAGGAAGGGTCCAGTAGCACCTTAAAGAGTAATAAAAATATTTCCAGGTAAGCGTATTTGAAAAAGTGTGCTTGGCACAGGAAAGCTCATACCTTGAATAAACCTTCGTTGGTCTTGAAGGTGCCACTGGACTCTCAAAATATTTTGATAGGGTATCGGCGTTCCTGAGTCACTGCTCACTTCTTCAGATACAGATGATGAATCTGAAGAAGTGAGCGGTGACTCACGAAAGCTCATATACCCCACCAAGAATGTCTGGTTAGTCTTTTAAGGAGCTACTGGGCTGTTACTCTTTTCTACTGCTATCCGTTTTAAGGTCCGTCTCAGCCACACTCAAGTAGCCTCTTGAGCTAGAAGTTTATTGAATTATAAGACCGGTTTGAGAAGCCATCTTCTCAGTGTTGCCGGGAATGAAAAGAACCCTGGAGAAGGTAAAATGAAAGAGAGAGTTACCGGGTGGAGTGGGAGGGACAATTGTGTGGGGAAACTCGTCTGCTCAGTCCCCCTCACTGTAGGGCTCAGAGCCACTGAATCATCCTTCAGGATCCAGTCCCGAGAATACTTGCCTGGGAGAAAGCCCCGTTGAATAAAATGGGGTTTAACCAGGCCTAGGACTGCAAGCGAATTGCACTCAAGACCAGTGTTCCCTCTAAGATGAGTTAGTGTGAGCAAGCTCACAGTTCTTTAGCCTCCGGCTCACACATTTTTGTCTTAGCTCAGGAAGGATGGCTCCAGAGCAAAGTAACTGATGCAGTAGCCAAATCGCTCGCTCACAACTTTAATGCCAGTAGGTCACAAAGTAGAATTTTTGCTCACAGGACTCTACAGCTTAGAGGGAACACTGCTCAAGACTGCCTGTAAAGCCATGGAAGAGAATCCGCTCATGTCTCTGTCTTTTGTAAGGAAAAAGATGCCTTCCCTTATTTGCACAAGGTGGTCACAATCCAGCAGAGAATTAGACACCCTTGGTTAAAGTCCCTTGAAGTACATTTACCTCTCCCTTTCCTACAATGCTGTCCTTCACCCATTAATTTCTTGCAATATTTGCAGAAGCAATAAAAAAACCCTTCACCCATTAATTTCTTGCAATATTTGAAGAAGCAATTAAAAAAACAGCTCCGTTTCTGCTTTAAGCCTTTATTCATGATTCCAGGATTTGGAGCTGTAGTTAACCTATAAACTCCCAGCAGTTCTGTCCCTCTAAGCTGTGGAGTCTTGTGAGCAACAATTCTACTTTGTGAACTACTGGTGTTAAAGCTGTGAGCGAGCGATTTGGCTACTGCATAAACTAGTCTGCTCTGGAGCCATCATTCTTGAGCAAAGACAGAAATCTGTGAGCCGGAGGCTAAAAAACTGTGAGCTAGCTCACACTCACTCGGCTTAGAGGGATCACTGGACTGGCAAAAACGCTCAGTCCTCCTCTCTGTATTATGGGGATAATGACATGGCCCACCTTGTAGGGATTTCTAGTGACGTATGTGAAGCATCTGACCACTCCGGAAATAAGTGCTGTGTTACTGTTACTGCCAGGACGATTAAAATTGCTACCAGAGCTACTAAGAACTATATTTGTCGTTTGATTGTTATACACAGAGCTGTATTCATCTGAACAGCTACTTCTCCTTGTCCAGGCAAGCTCAGTTGCACCAGTCCATATACTGGAGATAACAATGGAGAGTACTGCTGCTGAACTGAACCGGTTTTTTTAAAATTAACAATAATAATATTATCAGGTAGTGATATTCCAGTGCACTGCTGTTTGCTCTAACAGTCAGTATTAATTATCGTGACCGTTCGCTGTTAACTCAGCATTAGTATTAATTATTATATCGAAGGGTTTTATAACGTGGCGTCAGCATTTCTGGGAAATCCTGGACGTTTAACGTGCGGTTTTGCATGAGAAATGCTTCCTAGGCAGACTTCCATTTTGTCTCTAATCCAAACCGCCTCTGCACACACGCTTCAAGTTATGGCTCATCTTCGCATACGGGATGGATGACGGATTGTGCCGCGGCCCTCCCCCGGCAAGGCCTTTGCCTAGCAGAGAGCAGCCCGACTCGAAGCGTGGCTTAGCAGAGGGCCCGAGAAACACACCGAGGAAACCGAGCCGACGCGACTCGTCTCCGGGCTCTAGTGCCGAGACAGACGACGACTGGTTCCAAGCGGCCTATCTCGGCTAACGGCGGGCAGATAATCTTGCAAAACGAGCCGAGAAGCCCCCCCCGTGGCTTCCTTGCGAGCCGGAAAAGTAAACCTCACTAGGTTCCCTGGAGCCTACTCACGAGTAGGCGAGCGCTTTTCTGAAAGCTTTCGGCAGAGCAGGCAGGCTCTTCCCATGTTTACTGTAAAATAAGGCCCGTGGAGCACAGTGGCGCTTACTCCCTTGTAAGCGCGTACAGGACAGCCGCCTGAATCACCACCGGCGGCATTCTCTGGATCTGAGCCCGCAATCCATTCAGCTAGGGCCACAGTGTTACGGCTTAGACACCCGGGCGCTGCCCACCGATCCCCAAGGCTTAACCCGTCTTCTCTAACAGGCTGACCTGGAGGAAACACCTATGGGGTACACTTGAAAAGACATCTGCAGGCTTTCCGACAACCGGACGGCCATTGCAGAGAACCCGGGGAGGGTCTGTTCTTGTTCCCAAGGCCTGGGGACCCCCAGTCTCCCATTGGGGCCAGTGGTCCTGATCCCCCTCCCCCGGCTGAACAATGAGGAAAGGCATTCAGCGCAACTGCAACCAACGCCGAGTGCCTGTTCCGGGGTCGTAGCGCTCAGATTCTCTGCTCTGAACGCCCAACGCAGATCTCGGCTGAACCCTCCCGTGTCTAAAAGACAGCGAAAGCAGAGAGAGAAGAGATCACAACTGTGTTTGCACAGGGATAACACCTCGTTTTATTTCGATCAGCGGCTGATAATTAAAAGGTCTCATTATAAGGCAGTTTCCTTTCCCCCCCTCAAAAAAATCACTTAAATCTCTTCATTAATTTACTTTACAAAGAAATAATCAGTAGGGAGAGGATTCCACCCCCCAAAAAAAGATAAATACAGGTGCAAAACTCGGCTGATTGGATTCCTAAAATAGATCTGACAATTTGTCCTTAGAGCAGAAGAGAAAAGTCCCCCCCATAAGAAAACCACGTACAAAATTGCTGGGTTGTTTTTTTCCCCCCTTTTTCTTTTTAAAGTATCAAATTCCAGGCGAAGAAAAAGACTTGCAACCCGTCAGCAGGGACTCCAGAGAGGTGGAAAGAAGAACAAATCAAACCCACTCTCACCTATAGCGCGCAGAAATGTCATTAAGGTAGCTTGAAAGACAAGGTCGGACCCTTGCGTCAAAGGTGCCTGAGAAGCGGGGAGGGTGGCCAGGAGACGCCCCCCCCCCGTGTGTGCCATGGTCCTTCGCTAAGGCTCAGAGGAGGAGCGCCTTAATCCGCCGGGCCATCCTCTCGGCCTTCGAGATCCTCCTGAGCTTCTTTCTTGGCCTCCCCGCCTTCCTTCTCCTCTGGCCGGGCCGCCGGGAATTTGTCCTTGTTGTTCTCTTTTTTCCACTTCATCCTCCGGTTCTGAAACCAGATTTTGACCTGCCGCTCGGTGAGTCCCAGAGCGTGAGAGACCTCGATCCTTCTCTTCCTGGTCAGATAAGGGTTAAAAAGGAACTCCTTCTCCAGCTCGAGAGTCTGGAAGCGGCTGTATGTTTGTCTTCCTCTCCGCCTACCAGGAGCTGCTGCATTTTTGGGAGGAGGGGGGGGGGAATAAAACACACACACACAGCGTTTAAAAAGAAGAAGACATCAAGACGCTCGCTAACTTGATTTGCAGGACACGGAAATAAGTCTGGGGGGTGGGGGGAGTCTTCCTTGGCGCTCACTTTCTAGGAGTCAATGGAACGGGGTGGGGGAAACGACGACTTTACGCGTGTAAACCTGCGTGGTCTCGGGCCAGTTTGTTCAGGAGGACCTCTTTCTGGTCTTTCCAAAGCCAAAGGCTCATTCTACGCACAGTAACTCGAGGGTAAGCCCGGTAAGAGCTGTAAGAAAGGGGGGGGGGGCTTTGGCCTCCCCGTTCAACCTAGTGGTCTCATCCGGGAACTCCAGTCAAACTGTTTATGTGCCTAGGGACGGGGGTCGCTCCTAGGCCCTGCCCAAGGTGGATCAAGTAAACTAAGGCGACACAGGAAGGCGGGCGAGAGGGGGCTGTTCAATGCCACCGTTCTCAAGCGCTTTGGGGCTGGCCCGGAGAATCGGTGGCGGCCTGGGGGTCAGCTCGAAGTGGAAAGGAGTTTTGTACACAGTCTTAAGGGGAGGGGGATAGAACAGCCACCGTCATGTGTATATTATATTTGCCGTATTTTATATTTAGAAAGAGGGAGGGAGCGAGCGAGAGAGAAAGGGAGAGAAAGAGCGAGCGAGAGCGCGCGCGAGAGGGGCAGCGTGCCCGAGGGAGGGCCTGTGGCCGGCGCCCAACCTTGCGGTCTCATCCAGGGGAAGAGGGGAGTCGCCGACGCGCCCTGATTTAAGCGCTCTGGGTCCTCGCCAAGGTTCGCGCCGGAGGATTTACAGTCGGCGTAGTGGACCAGCTCGGCCTCTTGGTGCGTCGTAAAAAGCGCCTGTCGCTGCAAGTGCTCGTATCCGTAAAACTTGGCCGGCTCCCCGGGACAAGGCGGGCCCGGGCAGGGGGGCGGCGGC